ATAATGCTGTGGCATCTGGACACAAGGTAACATTGTTAAAAAACAATAGGAAATTTATTTGTAACTAGCTTTTGTTGAAATTTTCAGGGGATTTTCTAAAGATTTTGATCCTGTTATAGGACAAATTGTACAAGCAACTCTAGATATTTACAAAATGAGTAGACAAAACTTGTTGCCAACCCCATCTAAGTCTCACTATTTGTTTAATTTAAGAGACTTCTCTAGAGTTATTCAGGTATTTTATTATGCATAAAATTTACTTATCAAATACGAATTTATTTACTGAAAAATGGTAATACGGTAACTTCAAGATAATTAAAAAATAATCAAATTTTATACTACCTAAAGAAAGTTCTTGCAATCTAGTCACAGCAAATTCCAAATAGAATTAATTAATTAATTAATTACCAACTGAGATGTAAGACCCTCGTCAAACGCTTTGAAATGCTACAATTATGGCAATATACTACCTATACCTACTTTGATATTAGTTATACTTCGTTTACTTTCTGTAGCGATGTGACCTTTAGTTTGACCGGCGCAAAGTAGAAAAGAACAGCACTAGGTCAGAAAAGGAAGGGAAAGGCCAAACTCTTAACCGGTAAGGAGCGTATAATCCGTACAGTACTGCACGGAAAATTGACCAATTTAGCCACTTCAACTGCATTGCTCATATGTGTTGTTATTGGTACCATTTACTACTGAAAATATCAACGAGATGTTTATTTATATTTGAAGACACATTAAAGGCTTTAACGCTTGTTTTCGACTCGCACTACTGTTCATGATTGAACAAAACTTTCGGCAAGTACTGTATGAAAAAGTATGTTTAATGAACAAGAGTCGAGAGTATAATGAGCTTTTTTCTCCCTACCTGCGATTTTGCCAGCGCGCATCCATGACATTGGAAGGGGCAAATCGCTAGAGAAAGTAGATGAAATATAGATATAGATCATAGATGTTGGTCGTTATAGTACGTTTTACACTCCTTTATTTTTTACGAGCAATTTTTGAGTAGGGGGTTCTATTGTCAGTCCCTGAAGTAATGGAAAACTTAGAAGCAATGAAGCGACTATGGGTTCATGAAGTATTACGTGTATATTATGATCGTTTAGTGGATGATAATGACAGAAGTTGGTTGGTAGGCGCTCTTCATGAAGTGGCTGCCGACAAACTGGATCACAATTTTGATAAAATGCTGCGTAGACTCGCATCTCCTGGAAGCACTTATGTACAGACCTTTTATGTAATTTTACTCGAAGTTGTTAAATTTAATTTTTGTTTAGATTGGTGAAGCGGAACTACGAAAATTAGTTTATTGCGACTTTGCTAATCCAAAAGCTGACACGAGACATTACGCTGAAGTTTTAGACTTAACCGAATTAAGAACTATAGTTGAAGGTTACCTTGCTGAGTATAACAACATGTCCAAAAAACCAATGAATCTTGTGCTATTTAGGTTTGGTCATTTAAAATTTAAATGTAACCAATGCACAAGTTGCACTACAATAATATAATTTTCTTCAAGGTTTGCTATAGAACATCTAACGAAATTGTGTCGAATCATTAAACAGCCAAGATGTCATGCTCTTCTGGTTGGTGTAGGTGGTTCTGGTAGGCAATCGTTAACAAGATTAGCGGCTCATATATCAGAATACGATATATGCCAAGTAGAAATAACGCGTCAATATGGCATGACTGAATGGCATGAAGATGTTAAAGGGATACTGCGAAAGGCAAGCAGCAGCGATCAGCACGTTGTCTTCCTTTTTACCGACAGTCAGGCATGTTGATTGTTAATAATCTAATTATGTGCACTTTAGATTTAACGATTATATTTACGTATACGTGGATATAAAAAAATGGTTGATTTAAACCGTTCATTAAAAATTTGTAAGGAATGAAAAGAGGAACGTTCTCAAAACTTTGGATGTCCCACTTTTCTTTCTATTTAATAGAACGAGAGACTCGAATCTCTCAAAGTGGTGTCTCGATAGACATAGTTAAAATTTTTTCAGAGATCCCAGTCTTTCTACGAAAGACTCGAGTCTCTCAATTTTTCAGTTTTATTCATTCAGTCTCTCTGTGAGAGACTCAAATCTCTGAATTAACAATTTTATCGTTCGAGTCTCTCATACAGAGACTGTGAGAGATCCATAAAAACACCTAGGCAATAACTGAGAGACTGTGAGAGACGCTCACAGAGACGCTGAAAGACTCTGTGAGACTGAAAAGTTTTGTTCAGGGTGAAAAATTCAAGGTGAAAATATTTGTAAAATTACAAGTGAAGAAAGAATTATTATCTGGGGTACCAATAAAATGACTTCCGAATTTTCTTCTTCAAAGTGAAAAAATGACAATCGCTGAAGTTATTTATAATTATATTCATTTATTATTGATGTATAAGGTTATTTTATCCGTGTCTTCAAAAATGGAAAATAGTGAACAACATTCATTCAGACACATTTTAAATTAATTCAACATTCATGAAAAGAAACGTTTACATGTTTCATTATCACTACCTACAAATGTTGGTGAAGGGGCAATCCCTCCCTCTAGAGTATTCTAGTGTAAAGCCGAAGGGTAGGGCGGAAGGCCTTCGTATAATGAATTTTGCATTGTTACCGAATAAATCACTAAATATGTAAATAAATAAATATATTCTTGGAAGGTAAATAAAAAATCTTGCAGATTAAAGAAGAAGCATTTCTTGAAGATTTAAGTAACATTCTTAACGCCGGTGAAGTCCCAAATATATTTACTACCGAAGAAAAGATAGAAGTGTGTGAAAAAATGCGCCAAATAGACCGACAGAGAGACAGATCGCTGCAAACAGACGGCAGTCCAGCTGCTTTGTTTAATTTGTTTATCCAAATTGTTCGCGAGCAATTGCATGTTTCATTAACTATGAGTCCGATCGGCGATAGCTTCAGAATTAGAATAAGGAAGTTTCCAGCTATTGTGAATTGTTGTACAATCGACTGGTTTCAGGTAAACAATTACAGAACGAACAAATAATTTAAAATAATTGAAAACGAAAAGAAAATGTTCACATGATCTTTGGTGAGAACTAAGAAATATTATTAAACATGCCTACATATATGGACCATTTTCTGTTTGATCGGTTATTGATCGGAACTGCATGCTGATGAGATCAAATACAGTATAAATCGCGATCAGTGTCCGGTGGTTTCGATAAATAACCGACCAAGAAATGAAATATTTATTTTAATGTTTATAACAAAGTATCGATTTGCAATATCGACAGGCATGGCCTGAGGATGCTTTGCTAGCTGTCGCAACGCGCTTCTTGGGAGAAATCGATCTCGTCGAGAAAGAAAAACTCGTCTGTATTGACATGTGCCAACTATTCCATGTTACAACGCAAACACTTTCTGATGAATTCTATAGGAGATTAAAGCGATATAATTACGTTACGCCTACATCATATCTGGAACTAATTAATACGTTCAAGGAGTTCCTAGCTAAAAAAAGAAAGTAAGATTACTCACCCTTTCAGTAAACAACACAGTGTTATATTTGTATGAGTGAACATATATCTTTTTTCGATTTTAAAGGGCGATACTTCTGGCCAAAGAAAGATATGAAGGAGGTATCGGTAAGTTGGAGTTTGCCGGAAGTCAAGTCGCTATAATGCAAAGCGTATTAGAAGCCCTGCAACCTCAACTTGTGGTTGCCGCAGAAGCTGTAGCCATCACCATGGCGAAAGTGGAAAAGGAATCTCAGGAAGTTGCAGAATTTGAAACGATTGTTGTTGCTGACGAAGAAGTAGCCAACGAACAGGTCATTATTAAATAATCTTGCTATTAGAGCAGCGTTTCTTAAACTGTGTAAACCGGAAATTAAAAGGGTTTCACCTATTAAACAGTTTAAGAAATGTTGAATCAGAAAATAGAAATTAAAGAAGTAGCAAAAAGAACAAATAAGTAGCAAAGGAAGTATACTACTCCTTATTTCCTTTTATATTTTGATGAACTTTTGGTAGGTCCTGTTCACGTACTGTTCATTTCAGTATCTAAAGGTTGTAATTTATTATTTAAACAACAATTTTATTTTAAAAATGCAGGCGAAAGCAGCGCAAGCGATAAAAGATGAATGCGATGCTGATTTAGCCGAAGCAATGCCAATTTTAGAAGCCGCATTAGCAGCTTTGAACACACTGACACCTGCGGACATTACAATTGTCAAAACCATGAAAAGTCCTCCAAAAGGGGTGAGACTTGTCATGGAAGCTGTATGTATTTTAAAGGTAATCGAAGCAATGTGATTAATAAATTATTGCTCAATACATAAAGTTCTTAGCTACTTATGCTTAGAGGATTTAAGTTTATTTTTAATTAGTGTTTTATGTTTAATATCAGGGGGTTAAACCTGACAAAGTACCTGCACCAAGTGGTATTGGAACCGTTGAAGATTATTGGGGTCCAAGTAAAAAAGTACTTGGTGATATGCACTTTTTGGATAGTCTAATAAATTTCGACAAAGACAATATTGATCCTAAAATAATGAATATGCTAAAAGGAAAAATTCTAAATGACGAGAATTTCGACCCTGATAAAATTAAGGTTGCTTCAACTGCTGCAGAAGGTTCGTTATACATATCAAATAGATATATAGTAGCGATTAGCAAAAATCTAACCAAAACCGTATTTGGATTAAAAAGTACATTCGAATTTTTTCCCCTATAGGTTTGTGTAAGTGGGTGATTGCCATCTCAAAATACGATAAGGTAGCAAAGGTGGTAGCACCGAAAAAAGCTGCTTTAGCTGAGGCCGAAGCGGTTTACAATACAGCGATGACCGCACTGGAACAGAAAAGAGAAATTTTACGGCAAACAAGAGAAAGATTGGCAAAATTGGAGGCTACTCTCGAAACTGAAAAAACTAAACTGCAGCAGTTAAACGAGGAAGTAGATAAGTGTCAGAAAAAGCTCACCAGAGCTCAAGAACTCATAAGTGGATTAGGAAGTGAAGGTGCCAGATGGTCATCTACAGCTAAATCATTAGGAGAACAGTATTTTATGTTAACCGGTAATATTCTACATTTGTATTTAACTAAGGGATGAATATCTGATTTATGAATTTTTTTTTCCAATTTGATCAATTGCCCTTTGACATTCATGAAGCGTCAGCTTAAAAAGCTGAGTCCTAATCGTCAACTATTCATGATGTTCTAAAAATGTAACCAAAGAAATTAAAATTAATCACTAAAAGCGGCTCATTCCTGTTTACCATAAACTGTTTTTGAAGAATGGATAGACTCTTTCGTCCATTTTGAATGTGGGCATTATCAGCGCGAAAGTGATGATAAATGTGTTGCAATAATATATCAGGATTTGGCAAAAACCAAAATATGTTATTTCAATGCAAAGCCTTGCCCTGAAACTGCCATTAACTTTTAATTAACATAGTAGAATGAAGATTCGGGCTATAGGGCCGTGATCTAAGTGAACTATTCTGTCCAGACGTTTCGTCAGCTACTCATGACATCCTCAGTGATAGTGCTGCGTTGACAACGTGAGCGTAGATTATATCTCGACATGAGTCACTGTCATGACTTCGAGATATAATCTACGTCATGAGTCACTGTCATGACTTCGAGATATAATCTACGTCATGAGTCACTGTCATGACTTCGAGATATAATCTACGTTCACGTTGTCAACGCAGCACTATCACTGAGGTTGTCATGAGTAGCNCTTCGAGATATAATCTACGTCATGAGTCACTGTCATGACTTCGAGATATAATCTACGTCATGAGTCACTGTCATGACTTCGAGATATAATCTACGTTCACGTTGTCAACGCAGCACTATCACTGAGGTTGTCATGAGTAGCTGACGAAACGTCTGGACAGAATAGTTCACTTAGATCACGGCCCTATAGCCCGTCAGCTACTCATGACATCCTCAGTGATAGTGCTGCGTTGACAACGTGAACGTAGATTATATCTCGAAGGCATGACAGTGACTCGTGTCGAGATATAATCTACGCTCACGTTGTCAACGCAGCACTATCACTGAGGATGTCATGAGTAGCTGATGAAACGTCTGGACAGAATAGACCACGACCCTATAACTGGAATCTTCATTCTACTATGGATTCCGGCCGTGAAAGCCTTTGTTCTTATATTTGTATGAGTTAATAATTACGTTTTAGGTGATGTTCTTATCAGTTCAGCCGTTGTTGCGTATTTGGGTCCATTTACTATGCAATTTAGACAAAAGCAAATCGAGGAATGGGTATTGAATCTGATGAAATACGGAATTGTCTGTAGTAAAAACTTTCAATTAACCGCTATCCTGGGGGAACCCGTCGTTATTAGACAGTGGAATATTTTCGGTCTGCCTAGCGATTTGTACAGTGTAGACAACGGCATTATCGTTACGTAAGGAAAGATTCGAAAATTAGCAGCAAGATTTAATCATTTTATTCTAATTAGAAATACACGACGATGGCCATTAATGATAGATCCTCAAGGGCAGGCGAACAAATGGGTGAAAAACATGGAGAAGAAAAACAATTTATTCACAATAAAACTGTCTCAGCCAGACTACACGAGAATTTTAGAAAACGCTATTCAATTTGGACAACCAGTAAATTATTTTTTCTTTTGTATTTATTGGTAATTAAATGCAAACAAATCAAATCTTAGGTGTTACTGGAGAGCGTGTTAGAAGAATTGGATCCAATTTTGGAACCAGTTTTATCGAAAACAATTTTCAAACAAAGTGGAGCGTGGTGTCTAAAGTTGGGAGATGCGGTTATTGAATACAATTTTGACTTTAAGTAAAAAAATTATGGTGTATTTATTTTATAACAATTAATATTACCTTTACATGTTAATGTAGACTTTATATAACCACGAAGCTCAGGAATCCCCATTATCTGCCAGAAGTGGCCGTTAAAGTTACACTGGTGAATTTCATGATCACTTCTGTGGGATTAGAAGACCAACTCTTGGCAGTCACCGTGGCTAGAGAACGACCCGATTTAGAAGCTGAAAAAAATTCTTTAATTGTCCAAGGGGCCGAAAACAAACGGTAAAATTTTCAATTTCATATTTGCTTTGATTAATCAACAAACTTTCAGAATGTTGAAAGAAATTGAAGGGAAAATCTTAGAAGTACTCAGCACTTCAGAGGGTAACATTTTAGAAGACGAAACTGCTGTGCAAATTTTGAGTTCGTCAAAAACTTTATCAAACGAAATATCTTCTAAGCAAGCGGTTGCTGAAGAAACTGAAAAAATTATCGACAAGACAAGATTGGGTTACACTCCCATCGCTGTACATTCTGCAGTTTTGTTTTTCACTACAGGTAAAAATTGTTAAAAGGATTAAATAAAAACCCAAGAGAAAGCATGAACATACAGCATAAAATATAAAAATTGCATCCAGCAAAGCAAATTAGAAATGCATTGGATAGTGAGCGGACGACCGAGTACCTAACAAAACTATTATTTTGTTAATGGTTCTTCTAGCGATTTTTCCATTAAATACCACCGCCATGAACTTCCTAAACCACATTAAATCAAAAAGTCCTTTAAACACTAAACCAACGAAATTTTAATTCTTGATTGGCGGATTTTCAACGAGAGGGTTGAGTTGAAACCGTTAAAATGAGGCTATAATGTTTGTAAAGACTAAAAGTCTGTAGGGTGACAAAATCAAACCATTAATCAAAACCTTTTATACCAACAAGCGACAAAAATTATAACTATACCGAATAACAAATAATTTAGAACAGTAATTAATCAATAATACAAATTAGGGCAAACAACTTATCCCAATATAATCGTAATTACTAATTTTCATTAGGTATGTTTTTACATAGGCTAAAACCACAGCGCAATTAACGATAAATTTAAGGAACATCATCTTAGTTATTTGAATTTAACAATTAGAAGCGTTGATAATCCTTTCCTTCTGGAGACTTAAAAATATATTGAGATATATAAAAATAAAGAAAAAATCTTATGACCTAAGATAGACCATCTATTATCTAATTAAAATTAGATCTCACATGCATTCAAGTTTAAGATAAATGAATAATTTCAATTGCGGATCTTAAATAGGTATATAATGAGCTTTAATGAAATTTAGTTTAACTGATTACAATTTAAATTTTTTAAACTTTTTATGTGAAACCTTAGGATGCATTGTTTTATATGAGAATCATCTTCCACAAACTTTTTTATTATCCAAAACAGTACCTATATCCTGATACATTTTAGCTGATCTCGCAAATATCGATCCAATGTACCAATATTCACTTGTCTGGTTTATGAATTTATTCAAAGCAGCAATTGATAATACGGAAAGAGCTGACGAGGTTGCAGAAAGACTTCAAATCTTAAAAGTCTACTTCACATACTCACTGTATGCAAACATCTGTCGAAGCTTGTTTGAAAAGGTGCCAGTAGTAGCAGTAAACATTTTACTTTTTATTATATACTTTGTTGATATTTCAGGATAAACTATTGTTTTCTTTGTTATTAACCATTAATTTATTAAAATCGGAAAACAAAATCGACCAGTCGCAGTGGATGTTTCTTTTAACAGGTGGCGTGGGTTTAGATAATCCCTATAAAAATCCTTCAACTTGGTTAGTGGATAAGTCATGGGATGAACTGTGTCGACTAGATGATATACGAACATTTTCGTGAGTAACTTTTAATCCATTTTCAAACTTGAATCGAATTGCTACTTTTGCAACTTTTGCAACAGAATTAGAATCGATGCTTGTTGAAATATCAATATTTTAATGCACAGGTACAGTTCCGATGTGGTATCAGAAACTTACCAAAAATTGCGCCCTCGGCATTTGGGGAGTTGCTAATAGCAACATGAAAAGGTGCATTACAGGGTGTGACGTGCAAATGAATAGTAGATACCAATTATTACATTTTCTACAGTTTTTGTAAATACTAAGCTACGATAAAACTTTCCTACATTTTTGCCATATTTATTTAAAAAACTGACTATCCCAAGGAATGCTAATAAATCTCGAACGAATAATGAGTTTTCGTGTATGTTTCTTATAATAACAAAATTAAATGAGTAATAGAAAATACTACAAATGGCGCGGTAAACGCCATCTGTAATACGATGCTACATTTTAGGATTACGTATGCTCCAACAAGGTCCTTTTTGGATCTCATCAGCGCGTCGCAGGCAGCCCCGACAGAACACAGATCAACCCCCACCTGCTGTCTTAACAGCGCGTCCTAGAAAATCCAAAAAGATCGAAATCGCGATCCGCGTCTGGCAGTTTCGACAGAATACAGACCACTTCGAATTATTTTATTCGATTATGGTAACGTGCCTATCACGTTGAGGT